AGCTTGCTGTTTTAGATGAAGATTTTGCAAATTGGGTGCCTCCTGTTTTTAGTCCACGTTTGTTCCTCCGGTACAGTATGGCTCCAGCAACGGAGATGAAGAAGAACCAGATAAAGGGCAGTACATATTTCTGCTACAAAAAGACAAACTGTCGCAAGGAACTTTGATTCTATAACGGTACATTTTCCGAACATTCCAAATTATCTTCAAAGATGCTTTTTGCTCTTCTTCTTGTTGGGCTGAACGCCAAAGGTTCACATTTGATGACAGACTATCCGAAACGGTCCCTGAGCCGAGCATTAAACTTAAATCTTATATTCAGACTATCAAGTAGAGTTCTCTTAAGATATCTGCATTGAAGAATATCAGAAAACACTTTTTAACGGTCAGGGGTCTTGGTAAGATAGTAGAGGTGGATAGAACGCTTTCTACCAAAAATTGTACCACAGGGACAAGGTTACGGAGCAGCAGCAGTGTTTCAAAGTATTGAACCAAAGATCAAGAAGTATTACGGCGTTACAGGGGAAGACGAGAGGTGATGCTATCCGTTAGTAGCTAATCAACATTCAAATCTTAGAACAGTTATAGTAAGCAGCATACAACAGTATCAGGGATGTACCAGAAAGGCATCATCCATTAGGCTGTAAGCGACAGTTTGCACTTTATTTATCCTGAGTCCAGTGCCTATACAAACAGCATCGAAGTTCTGCGGCAAAAGTTTAAAAAGAGGCATAAATTGAAGCATAGGACGAAGAGGTCACTTAAGACATATAAGTGAGAGCTCGTTTGATAAGTTGTACGGGCATATCGTGCTGTACTAAACTTGATATCAAGTAACAAAGCAGCAACCAACACCTTGTAGCTCTTAATGATAGTGTGGTCCTTATAAATAGGTCCCTGGTCAGTCATAATGCATCCCAATTTTTGAAAAACACTTTATATGAGAGAAACTAAATTAACTCATCTCGAAAACTGGGAGATTAGGACAGAAGATATGCCTCACAAAATGGAAGGTTATGGCTACAATAAACAACAGCCTGCCTAAGGAACCTAAAGTGTTAACCTTCATCTCACACGACCATATGCCACTGTATTTTTCACCACTTGGTACAGCTTTATTTTAAGAATTGCAGAAGTACTGCTTCCTCTACTCTGGTACTCTATTTTCAGGACTTAACTGGTAGGCTCATTGCCCGAACTACCTCACACAAGGCTATTTAAAATTTCCCCAACCATGGCATGACGCCACTATTTACAACCGATTATTACCATTAAGCTGTTTTTTCCACTAACTTCTTTGTGTCTCTGTCTTCACTGACCATAATGACTTACTACACTTTTGCAAGGCATCAACTATGACGTTCGCTCTTCTACTACCGCACAATGGTGGCTACCAAAAAAGTTCCCAATCAAAACTCAGCACAATCTGAAGTCCTCCTGACTGCAGCAAGTTGCGACTTCAGCGTTGCAGCTTGTATGAAGTTACCCACTCGGAAAATTCCCCTCCAGATATGTATGGCGCCGTTATTGTATAAAAGTTTCAGCTATTCTAGAAAATAGTCCTAAGGAATAAGAGCCTCTGCCGAAAAAATTTTCAGCCTTGCTTTTTGTAGCTCAAGCTTTAGTTTAAGAGGACTTTATTGGTTCTTTAATTCACAAGAAACCTCCTAGAATAGCACTAGTGTTAACTAAGAAGACTTCTAATAAATTAAAAAAACTGATAAGTTTCTCTTAAACTGCAAACTTCAGCTACAGAAAACAAGGAAAAAGTTTTGTTGCTTGGATTTACGCTTTCGTGTATGGGCGTACTAAATAAACCACCCGCCTCTGAAAAAAAAGTTTTCAAAACTCGTCTTGAATAGTCTTGACTGTGACATGCAAAAGGTTAGTTTCCATATTTTAATATGCATCTCCAGCTCATTTTTGTCTAAATCTTATATGCACTTTTTTTATTTTAGTTCTTCTCTCCTCTCAAGAGTGCAATCCTTATAATGATCACTGCAGCGGTTAAAGACTTTTAAACATCACTTGGAAATATACTTTCCTCATTCTCCCTAAAAAAAACTGTGGCTGTCGGTTAAACACCATAAAACTTGTTATTATTCGTTAGTAAATGCTCTATTCATAGTAACATGTCCAAAAACAGGTTCGGAAATTATGAAACCTGTAAATAATTTGTTGTTTCGGTAGATGCTCTCTGAAAGCAGCGGTGCTAGCGCTAGTGGCAGTTCCCCAAACGCAAAAAAAAACAACGTTAGATCAAAGTTTGATGGTTCAATTAGTTCCATCCGTTCTCTACACCTCTTTCGCAACTTATATGAGAGATGGCTTAAGCTACGTACGCGCGACAGCTTTTTCATTTTCTAAAAACGTACTGCAGTAAAAGGAAAGGTAGATTACCACTTGCGAATCTACTCTGCATCATTGGGGGTCCAGTAACAGGAAAAACTGAGCTCTCTACTTTTATTTTTAATAATACAATGATTTTTTTGACTAAACTACAACTTATTGTTTCGATAAGGACACCATGTTTCTTCTTATTTGCCTCATCGTGTCGTCAAGCTTAAATCTAAAAACATCTATAAAAATTTACAGTTTGTTTTTGGGAAAGGCCGAATGCACTAAAAGGAAAGAATGAAAAAAAGATAAAAAGGAAAATAGTAAGGAAAAGCAAACCTTGAATATAATGCCAGTTAACCAGAGCGTCCCTTTAAATAAACGACAAGAATCCTCAGTTGCATGGGAATCGAGCGCTACTGTGTAGAGAACCACTGAATGATTACCGTAAACAAATTCTCCAACAGGAATTATTTGGTGTACTAATAAGGTCGGTATTGAGAGTACCATAATTATTCCAAATATAAGGAAAAACAATTTTCTGAAAGATGCAAATGACTCAATTACTATTAGCTACTTCTGTATCACGTACCTTAATATCTTTAGAAGTCACTTTAAGTTCGTCTGTTGAGAGATCAAAGTCCATAAAGTATTGTACCGAAACGATTTGGTCAATGTAGTTCACTAGAGGGCGCCGTGTTAATTATTGGTAAGACAGTTCTGTTAGCCATTGACTTAGCTTTAGAAAAAATTGCAGAAACTAGCTTCCTTATTACAATTCCGATACCCGTAATCACCGCCCCTTGATAACAGAAAGCAAACCAGGACACAGTTCTGGTGAAGTAGCAAGAGAGGAAAATTGGAGTAAGTGAAGGAGAAAAGAGAGGACAAAAGTTATCTATAATTAACTAAAATTTTGTGAAATACAAAATGCATACGACACTTTTCTTCTCTGAAAAGAACCAGCACCTTCCCCTTACTTTTGGATACAGTTTTTAAATGTTCCTAGTATGTTTATATATCAAAAAATTTCTCTTCTCGCCTCTCGCGCACGGTTTTTTAATTCTCAGTTCTTTGAGCCTCACTCATTGACAACATTTCGTTACAAATATCTTCTGTGCTTCAGAATCATCACGATAAGCAAAAGTGTGATAGGTGCGTCTTTTTTATAGGTATCTTTCGTGCTCTGTGGATGAGCAAGCAAGCTTGAAATAACGCCTTTTTTTTAAGTTTACGTTGGGTGATCATTCCCAACTTATTTGTATATGTCTTTCCGTTAATTTCAGCTTCCAGTTACAGCCTTTCCGATTGTGTGGATGAGGGTTGGCCTGGAACGCCCAAAATGAAAAAGGCAAAGAACTTTCTGAGGAGAGGACATGGGAGAGAAAACAGAAAAAACTACTTTTTCTATCTGGAAAGAGGATGAAGACGAGGAGTGGATAAACTAAACAAACGGTTTTGATACTATTTGGCTTTGATGCAAGTGTACCATACGGCTCCTTGGGAGTCATTTTAGGTTGAGACGTCCTTATGCCCAAAATAAGAACAAAATCTCGCAGGCGACATAGGCTGACATAGTCTTCCTCGCTGATTCGGTAAGATACCGCAACCAAATTTTGTTTCTTCTTGTACGCTTCCTCTCCTGCGAGTCAGAAAAAACAATCTTTTGATGTATTTTTACAAGGAAGCGGTATGCAGCACATGGTAACGATGAAAATTGCTGAGTCGAATTTCTTTAAAGCATTCCTCAATCGTTGTTATGCGATTTCCATGTTACCCCCTTATCTGGTATAAAGATTCTCTGTGGGAGCATTTTAAACAGGATGTGCATAAACTACGCATGCTTATGTCTGACTTTTGTTGGTTGAGACAAAGAATTAGGTCATGCAAAAAATCTGCTAAGTTTGTGTCAGTCTTCTCCAAACAGTTGAATGCTTTTCCCCGTTTCATGAAAGGAGTTTTTCGAGAGTTTATAACTGACGGAAGTATAATAAAAGTTGACAATAATCGATTAAATTTATTAGATGTTCTGCCAACTTTTTTTAACATTTAGTGAAATTACATAAAATTTTTAATGAGGATTTAATTGTTTATTGAGAGGAAAAAAATCTAGTGAGGAATAAAATTTAAAAAAAAAGAATACAAGCGATAAAATTTTGATAGAATTAATTTAGGTCATTTCTCGTTTAATTTTAGGCTCTATTTTTTAGTATCTTTAGAACAGGACGCATTTCTAGATTTCAAAAAAAAGTATTTCTGTTACGTATTCTCAGTTTAAGTCAGGCAGAAAATCACGCATGAATTTTTTTGGTGACAAAAATAGCAACGCCTTGGTTCCTCTCTCCCACTAAGTCATACGCTGGGCTGAATTTTGTAAGAAAAATCCTTGTTAGTGTCTTGGTAGCTAATGTAAGGAGCGCTTAAATCTTGTTCTGGACATCATCGATGGAGGAAGTGAAAGTTTGTTTCAGATCATTAATTTTTGTCTTTTACAGTAAGAAAACTTACGCCATCGGTCGCGTTCTCAACCATTTGGAGTCTAACCGCTCCAAAGCCATCCAACGAATATAAGCAACTATGACAGAAAGATAAAGTCCGACAGTATGTAATGCAATACTGAGTATGACATGCGTCACCAGGTAAACAAGCCACCAGTACCTGTATCTAAAAATATATAAAAGTTAATGGATGTATTAATCGAATAGAACAGAAAAAGCCAAGCAAAAGAACCTGAAATTACAAATATTTTTAAAGAAAGCATAAAAGTTATTCTCTTAGAAAATTTTACCCAATTGCAAATTAAGAAGGTTCAATTGAACTTTATAACTTACTGCAGTTATCGCTCATAATGCATGTTTAAAAAATTATACTATGCAACAGTAAAGTCATTTCTCAAAGATACTAGATGTTGACAGTGTTCAGAACTACTTGTAATTAGGAAAAATAACTTATTTAGCATAATTTATTCTTTTATAATATAATTAAGAAAAATAATTTGGCATAACTTAGTCTTCATCCCAATACAGATTACAGAAATGCACATTCCTAAAACTTCTGCAACTTTCTTCAACTGTTCGCGTCTGGAGTACTCATGAGATAAAAAAAAAACAAGCCTCAACCAACAAAACATTGCAAACAGCACGGTATAGCGAAAAAAAAAAACGTTTTATAAGGTTTATTACTTTCAAGTATTTTCCTACTCATTGTAAAATAATGCAGTATAAATGTGCTGCCTCGTCTTCTGCGAAAGCTGTCTCTAATACCAGAACTATTTAAAGCTTAGAATATTGATCGTTGTGAGTTGGATAATGTATTGTTTTCAATTTTTTAAAGCAAAAAAATTTGCAGATTTACATAACCGCTTACCCAAATTCAGATTCTTCAGTTTCAAAAATACGAAATCGTAGAATATATATGAGATATGAGAACATTATAATTACATCGCTAACAGCCATCACTGATAAAACTCCATTTACTGCATATGAACGCATATCTCTTCTGAAAAAGTAACAAAAAAAATTAGTTTACATAAAGGAAGGTTTACAAAAAAGTAATATAAACAGCTTTAAAATTGCCGCCGTCGGTAGCATCAATATATTTCAAAGCAAAAAAATTTAAGAAAAGTTTCTTCGTTTACTGCATTGTATTCGGCAGTTTCGCCGAACCGATGGCTAATCATTTAGAAATGTAGCTAACTTCAACTGCTGTGGTGTACCTGGCAAATTTGTAAGTAAATTATGGTAAGATTTAGTATGGTTAAATATGTCAGTACTTTAAAAAACTTCCATAAAACAAGAATCACCTGATAACTATAATGTTATGATATATACTTGTTGCATGGTAAAAAAGATGGGGTAAGACCTTATACACATATATATATTTTTACTGCTGTTTTTTCTAAAAATCACTAAGATTTACCTCTAATAGTTTTACTTGTAATTTTTTTCAATAGCGGAAAGATAGTTGATTTTTCGCTAGTTACTTAATTATTTGTTGTCTTTATAAAACTTGGATAAACTGCTAACGAATATGATAGTATTTGTTTTTCTGCATCAAAGTTTTTGCTCATTTTTTTCTAATGAAACTTTAGAAGTAAGTGTTTGTCGTTTTGTTTGGCCAAATAAATAAAATTACGCTGTTTTATGATGATAATTGCATAGTTGCAATCATTTAAATTAAGTATCAGTGTTTAATGCACTAAGTTAAGCAATTAATTTTGGCTGCATAAAAAACTTTTTTAAACTCCAAAAATCATCTTTTTTTGGTTTGTGCTTATATGCACTTAGGAATATCACTGTTAAATACCGCTAATCAGCATCTTTAATGACATAAATTGGAATAGCAACAATTAGCAACAATTAGTTGTTATATGTAAGCACAGAAAAGTAAAAACTGTAGGAGACTTAGTTCAGCTTCAATTCCATTATCTACAAAACAGAAAATTTTTTGAACTATTTTTTTTCAATTTAGCCTATCTTCAGCTGAAGACTATCTAAAGCAAGCTAATTTTTTAAATACGGCTTAAAACTTAAGGTTAAAAGTAGGTAGCCTTCTACTCAGTTTAGCGCAGTATTATTTTTTCTACAGCAAAGCACTTGTTGAAGACACCATTGATACCAATCGAAGACAGTGGTAAAAATAAATTATGATTTACTCTAAACTAATGTGATAAACAGTTACGCTAGTTTTTCAGTCACTACAAGAGATGAAATACTAAATTGCATTTGAATAACTGTATTAGTTCCTTGATCAAGTTTTTATGCAACTGGTACTTTTAAACTGTTTGGAGAATTCAGGAGTAAAATATCAGTCAAAATCTGCTATGTGTCACGAATTGTTTTTAAAAAGTTATTAGTTATTTTAACAGAAACTACTGCATACTAAAAAAGTATTAAAACTAGAGTTGTCTGTCAAAATTGAAAGTAGTCTTTGACAACTATGAGAGTTAAGCTTAATAAAATTCTACAAATTGTAGTCATATTAATGTGAGTTATACGCTTATTTGAAAAAATTATATCAAAGAATGAAAAAGGTTTTACAATGATAGTTTATTCATCATTAAAAATGTGTACAAACTACGCTATTAGCAGCTCATTTTTATCTAACTGTTACGATGTTAATTAAACTGATTAAATGCAAATAATAATCCCATTCTTTTTGCTGATCCTGTCAAGGCTTTTTCTGACAAAGATCTTCATAAAACACTAATTCAAGTTTTACGAGAAAAAAAAAGAGTAGAAACGAAATGATTTTTATACATTAAAAACTTTTTTAGTTTTAAAGAATAAAAAATAATTATTGGTGATAGCGTGTTTGATCGAAAATTGGTGCTTTTTAAAAGGAGCGGATTTTAGGTTTTTGTTATTTCACTACTTTTGTTTTGGACGTCTATTCAGTTGTTGAATGGGGTGAGATATTTTTGAATACTAACAAACAAAAAGAGTATCATTTCTGCAATATTATTGCTACCAATGAAAAATTTTTTCTTTCGCAAAAAAAACCTGACAAAACTTTTAAAAAAGATCTATTTAAAGTGGTAGCACATAGAAGTCTTAATATAATTTATATTTTATACTGTGCCTTTGAGAGCAGTACAGCAAATTTTCTAAACAGCCACTGTATATCGCACAGATCAGGTTTTTTCAGCTAACTTCTTAAGATATTCACAAACTTTGCTTAACCGTATAGCTTGCGTTTCTGTTCACAAAAGTAAAAAGATTACTTTTACCAGCTCTAACTTTGTTTGAGAGAAAAATTTTGTGCAGAATCATTTCTCTTACACAGCGCTAAACGCTAGACAAAGCATTGAAAAACAGGTAAGTATGAAAAAAAAAGTATCAAAATGAAGTCTTAAAAGTTATGTTGAAGTAAAAAATTCTTCTGCTTTTATGCTACTGAAAGTTCAGATCGTTAATTCTAAATTACTATAGCTTAGAAAAGTCGATTTCAATTTCATCGAAGGTGCCGAACCCCTGACCGACTGAAAGGACAAAAAAAGTGCAGAGCAATTTCTCGGAAGTTATTCCACTGTTCGTTTCATAACCCACCTATTCACCTTTATCTTAGAATTTATTGCGTCTTGCAGGAAAGAAAGATTTCAAACAATATATTGGTAAAAAAAAATCTAAAAAATGTAATATTTCTATTCTGTCTTTAAACAAAAATTTTTTTGTTTTTTGATTTGTGGAAAAAGGTTGAAATTTTAAGGGATCTATAGAAGACTTAAAGGTTTGAAATTGTTTCAAAAGCATTTGATCCTATAAATGGCAAAATATATTGCGATTTTATAGAATAAACCATATACGGCTAAATGATACGTCTTTTTCACATACCTGAAGAGATCATTTTTAATTGAAAAAAATTAGTAAGTCAATTTTTTCTCATTTTTTGCATACGAGAGCAGAAACTATCATTTAACAAAATTTGGGGAAAGTCTAAGTGTACACCTAATAAAATTGGTTGATTAGGCATAAAGCGGCTATGATACACTTCGAAAGGTTGTATTCATTCTCTGTTATCTGTCATACAACAACGGGTAGTGGGTTATTTCTCATCTGATTAAAAAGTGGTCATAAAGCACAAAGAAAACTTAGTTTTAATCTTTCAGTAAAACTTCAGAAGTTTTCAATACTTAGATAAGCTGCAGGAAAAAAAAATGGTCACTGTCAGTTTTTCATTGTCTTCAGTTTAAAACAACTACAGATTTACTGTTTGTATCTTACGACTTAATTTTGAAATATCAGACTTCAGTATCTTATTTTTCAATCACTGTTATTATTCCACAAAATTTTACAAGCTATAAATAGCAGTCTTTTTCTGTAAAACTTTTTTTGTTTGTTAGTTTGTATCTTTTTTCTTATTTTTTATACGAAACTAAAAAAACAACTAATATTCTTCTTGAAACAATGATAAAAGTAAGTAATCAAGTTCTGTTGAAAAGTATCTTAGATAATATGCAACTGATTGCAACTTGATGTAAATGTTAAGCAGAAGTTTAATGCTAAACTTTAGTTGATAATTATTTTTTCTCTC